TTCTTTTTTCGGACAGCATGTTTCTCGCTCTTTTGTACTGTTCTCTCCTCCTAGCGTTCTTTTTAGCCATGCTATACATTCATCTTTCGCCTGACAGAGGTGCGGGCAAAATCTGCAGAATCGCCCTTCTCTCTGCATCACCCCTGTCAGACGCTTCCGACACAGACTGAGTCTGAATTGGAATCGCATCATCACTTCGCACTTGCGTTGGATTCGCCCGTGCTGTGGAATGTTCCTCCAAAGAATAGTCGGTGGCAACCAACTCCGTACTACCGGAGGTAGCGCGAAACAAAGGTCCAGTGGTAGCCGTGGGTGCAGCGCCTCACAAGTCGTCGCGGAGCGGGCCCCAACTGACCCCTGCGAACACCGATTGCCCCTATCGACCAAACTACCTGATTTCGAAAGGCAAAGGTAGAGCAACGCACAACTCCAACACCCAGGCGGCGTGGAGAAGAAAATTACAACCATGGATGGAAGACCCTCCCAGAACCCCAACAAATCTCGGTCCGCGAAAACGAGAAGGCCATCTCCGACTTGTGCGATGGCAATGTTGACACCTGACCGCACGAACCGCAAAGCACGCCGAGGCAGAAGCATGTCGGCGACTGAACCTCACCTGTCGCGACGATTCCTTTCATCGGAGGGCAACGAAGATCAGCGGCAGACCGCATTTCGACCCGGCCACAGAAACCGTCGTCAACCCCAATAAACCCCTTTAAGGGCAATCCTCAAGACGAAAAATTTTGCGCACCACCAGGCCACCGCGCACGAAAACGCACGGGGAAGTCTAAGCCGTTGAAAATGACGGTCAGAATAACGCAGAGTCCCGAAGCTCGCAGGAGTCGTCGTTCAAGCGGGCCTTGGAGCACCAAGGAACCGGTTTTCGCGCGGCTGGTGTTATTTGAAGGGAGCGTCAGCGGGGGCACGCAAGGAACGCCATGTTCGGGCGCACAGAAGGAAGGCCATCGCGCTTTCAATTGGTTGTCGCGCAACAACACTTGCAGAACAGAAGGTAGCGATGGATGTACCACCAGACAATTAGGCGCAGCGCGACCCCAAATTGACCCCTACAGACACAGACGGCGAGCAATGTTGCGCACCAATACTCCTCGCGCAATCGACTCGCACGCAAAGGTCCACGCATCATACGAAGGACGGTTAGATTCCCACGGATCCTCAAAGTCCGCCGGGATCCGAACTCGGCGGAATGCGAGTGCAGCGAGTAACAGGTTTTCGCACGGCTGCAGCTATTGGAAGGGGTGGTTGGCGTTTGCACAGAAGCAGGCCATGCTTGGGGGCACCCCCCACAAACCCCCATAAGCCATTTCTTGAATCGAGCATTTTGCGCACCCCTGGGCCTCCGACTTCCAGAACACGTCGGGATCGACGGCAGACTGACAACGGGCACGTCTGTTGTCATCGACGGCAACCCCCACAAACCCCTACACGGGCATTCATGACGGCGAATAATTTTCCGCACCAATACTCCTCGAAGGACGGTGAGATTCCCACGGTTCGATTCCCGCGGTCAGATTCCCGTAAATAACATGTCGAAATGCAGAAATGGATGGAAGACCCCTTCCCCTGCAACCCTTCCAAACCCCGACTCCGCCAGTCGCCAAGGCGAACCCCGATTCGCGTGCCGGGAACGTCGACGTGCGATAGCGCGAACCGGAAAGCGCTCCGGAACACGAGCACGTCCGCGACAAGACTCCGCGCTCCGCGACGGTCCAAACCCGTAGGGGGCAACATAGATCGACGACAGACCGATGAAGGTCACGTCTGCTGTCACCAACGGCCACCCCCATAAACCCCTACACGGGCATTCCAGGCGGCGAGGAATTTTGTGCACCAATACTCCTCCCTGGACCAACTCGCATGAAAAGGTCCATGCCTCATCCGAAGGACGGTTAGATGCATGCGGATTCTCAAAGTCCGCCGGGATCCGAACTTGGCGGATGCGAGTGCAGCGAGTAACAGGTTTTCGTGCGGCTGCAGCTATTGGAACGGGTGGTTGCCGTGTGCACAGTAGTTGTTGATGCTTGGCCGCACCCCCCATAAATCCCTAAACGCCAATTCTTCAAGCAAGCACTTTGCGGAACGAAGGGCCTGCGACTACCAGAACACGGCGGGATCGACGGCAGACCGACAACGGACACGTTTGCAGCAACCGACGTCAACCCCCGTAAACCCCTACACGGTCATTCCACACGGCGAGGAATTTTGCGCAGCAGAACTCCTCCCGGAAGCAACGGGCACGCAACGGTCTACGCCTCATGCGAAGGACGATTAGATTGTCGCGGATCCTCAAAGTCAGCCGGGATCCGATCTTGGCGGATGTGTGTGCAGCGAGCAACTGATTTTCTTGTGGCTGCAACTATTGGAACGTGCGGTTCGCGTTTGCACAGAAACAGACGATGCTTGGCCGCACCCCCCATAAACCCCTACAAGCCATTTCTTGAAGCGAGCATTTAGCGCACCCCAGGGCCCCCGACTACCAGAGCACGTCAGGATCGACGNGCCGCACCCCCCATAAACCCCTACAAGCCATTTCTTGAAGCGAGCATTTAGCGCACCCCAGGGCCCCCGACTACCAGAGCACGTCAGGATCGACGACCGACCGACAACGGACACGTCTGCTGCCACCAACGGCAACCCCCTTAAGCCCCTACAAGGGCATTCCAGACGGCGAGGAATTTTGCGCACCAATACTCCTCTCGCAACCAAGTCGCACGCAATGGTCCACGCGTCATGCGCAGGACGGTTGGATTCCAGCGGATCCTCAAAGTCCGCCGGGATCCGAACTTGGCGGATGCTAGCGCAGCGAGTCACAGGTTTTCGCGTGGCTGCAGCGGTTGGAACGGCTGGTCGGCGTTTGCACAGAACAGATGATGCTTGGCCGCACCCCCCATAAACCCCTATAAGCCATTTCTTGAAGCGAGCATTTAGCGCACCCCAGGGCCTCCGACTACCAGAGCACGTCGTGATCGACGGCAGACCAACAACGGACACGTCTGCTGCCACCAACAACAACCCCCTTAAACCCCTACAAGGGCATTCCAGACGGCGAGGAATTTTGTGCACCAACACTCCTCTCGCAATCAAGTCGCACGTAATGGTCCACTCGTCAGGCGTAGGACGGTTGGATTCCAGCGGATCCTCATAGTCCGCCGGGATCCAAACTTGGAGGATGGGGGTGCAGCGAGTCACAGGTTTTCGCGCGGCTGCAGCGGTTGGAACGGTTGGTCGGCGTTTGCACAGAAACAGACGATGCTTGGCTGCACCCCCCATAAAACCCTACAAGCCATTTCTTGAAGCGAGCATTTAGCGCACCCCAGGGCCTCCGACTACCAGAGCACGTCGTGATCGACGGCAGACCGTCAACGGACACGTCTGCTGCCACCAACGGCAACCCCCTTAAACCCCTAAAAGGGCATTCCAGACGGCGAGGAATTTTGGGCACCAACACTCCTCTCGCAATCAAGTCGCACGCAATGGTCCACGCGTCAGGCGTAGGACGGTTGGATTCCAGCGGATCCTCATCGTCCGTCGGGATCCGAACTTGGCGGATGCGAGTGCAGCGAGTCACAGGTTTTCGCGCGGCTGCAGCGGTCGGAACGGTTGGTCGGCGTTTGCACAGAAAGAGACGTTGCTTGGCCGCACCCACCATAAACCCCTACAAGCCATTTCTTGAAGCGAGCAATTAGCGCACCCCAGGGCCTCTGACTACCAGAGCACGTCGGGATCGACGACAGACCGATAACGGACACGCATGATAGCACCAACGAAAACCCCCGTGAACCCCTACAAGGGCATTCCAGACGGCGAGAAATTTTGCGCATCAACACTCCTCTCGCAATCAAGTCGCACGCAATGGTCCACGCGTCATGCGTAGGACGGTTGGATTCCAGCGGATCCTCAAAGTCCACTGGGACCCGAACTTGGCGGATGCGAGCGCAGCGAGGCACAGGTTTTCGCTCGGCTGCAGCGGTTGGAACGGTTGGTCGGCGTTTGCACAGAAGCTGATGATGATTGGGCGTACCCCCCGTAAACCCCTACAAGCCATTTCTTGAAGCGAGCATTCTACGCACCCAAGGGCCTCCGACTGCCAAAACTCGTCGGGATCGACGACACCCCGATAAAGGACACGCATGATGGCACCGACAGAAACCCCCGTAAACCCCTGAATGGGCATTCCGTACGGCGAGGAGTTTTGTGAACCAATACTCCTCCCGGTAGTAACTCGCACGCAAAGGTCCACACCTCATGCGAAGAACGGTCAGTTTCCCGAGGATCCTCAAAGTCCGCCGGGATCCGAACTTGGCGGATGCGAGTGTAGCGAGTAACAGGTTTTCGCGTGGTCGCATGTATAAGAACGGGTGCTTGGCGTTTGCACAGAAGCAGGCGATGCTTGGGCGCACCCCCCCATAAACCCCTATAAGTCATCTCTCGAAGCGTGCATTTTGCGCAACCCAGGGTTTCGGACTAGCAGACCACGTCGGACAGTCCGGGGTCTTGAACGGGGCGGTTGGATTTGCGCGGATCCCCGAACTTCCCGAAGTCCGCCGAGATCCAAACTTGAATTGTAGAAGTTGACATCACCACGGCCTTACGACTGCCTCAGAAGGTTATTCCAGGAATTCTTTCAGAAGAAATTGATTGTAGAAATGTTTAGACCGTAGTTCGAACAGCCAAAAGTGTTGGATATGCCCTTACGTTCGTGCGGAGAGGAAACAAAGCGACAAACGCGCTTTGTGTCATTACGTGCGCCGGCAATGGAAGCTCACAGCGTTGGATATGTGGTCTTAACAGCGCGAGTCGATAGCTCCGAACACCCTGCCAGTCGCCACTGTGCGAGGGTCGCAACACGAAGTTCGGATCCTGGCGAACTTCGCTTGTTGGCGCATGCGATGTGGCGAGCTGCGCAAGGAGTTTGTCGGCGTCATCATGCAACACGAAGTTCGGATCCCGGCGAACTTCGCTTGTTGGCGCATGCGATGTGGCGAGCTGCGCAAGGAGTTTGTCGGCGTCATCATGATGACGCCGACAAACTCCTTGCGCAGCTCGCCACATCGCATGCGCCAACAAGCGAAGTTCGCCGGGATCCGAACTTCGTGTTGCGACGCTCGCACGGTGGCGGCTGGCGAGGTGTTCGGAGCTATCAACTCGTGCGGGCAAGTGGGGGCGCTGTTGCAACTGCAAGCCCGAACTACAACATGATTGTTGGTGTGTTGTCATGTGCGCGCGATCTTCCCCATGGCCACGCGACGGCATCACCATGACACTTCACACCCGCAGAAACGGTGTGTTTCACGACACAAGCAAGAGTGAACAGCATGGAGGCCGCGTTGTTCGATATTGAACGAGGCCCTCGACACAACCGAGAGTGAACATTATAGAGGCCACGTTGGTATCGCGGCGGGGACCGCGTTGTTCGATGTTGAACGAGGCCATCGACTCGAGCGGTGATCCTGCGACAAAATGGTTTGCTTCACGACACAACCGGTGATCACGGGGTGTTCTCCACGACGCAAGCGGGGATCACGCCGAGAAAATGGCTTCGTCATTGTGGCGACTTGCGATGTCGTTCTGCATCGCGCGCAGACCGCTTGTGCGTGCTCTGGCATGGAGCCCTCATATGTTGCCCGCACATTCCTTTCGTTGTTCGCAAGGAGTGACGCAGCGCATCGCTCACGACCAGCGCCAGCAGCTCGCGCTCAACATCGGTGGGCTCT